TGAGAGTGGAGAGGTAATTGGTTAATTGATTTTAGGGTTTGGCGTAGATGGGGTGGGGGGAGTATATATAAATTAATTTATTGTAAATAGATATAAAAATAAAAATAAAAAAATATTTTTAAATTATTAATTAAAACCTGATTTTTGTAATATGAAACTTGATTCAGGATTTTTGAAAATGGTAATTTAAAAGTAGGGGTGCGTGTAATTTCCTCTCAAATCATTAACTAAAAATACCCAAATAACAAAGCCCTACTCTTAAATACCAATTTTTAATCCCATTTAAAATCTCATAGCCCAACCCATTATATACAACCTACAATGCAAAGACCACCAGACATCTCAACACAACCTTTCTTCTTCGAACCTTAAATCCACAACCGTTGCTTTCGCCAACTACTCCACTGTCAGCAACCCATTACCCAACACACTCGTCAGTTCGAGCCCCATGTTTGACGGATTGCCACCCACCCACTACTACAACAAGCACCGATTGCCGCTTACAACCACCTCACTTGTGAATTCTGGCTCCATCCCTGGCCGTGTCTAGTTAGAACTTGAAGGATCCAACACATATCTCGTACTCATACCGTGTCTTGTCGTGTCCAACACAGTTACTCCGGTGAAATGGAGTCTGAGCATCATAGAGAGAAAGTACGAAAGCCCTACATAAGAACATGATGATGTAACAAGTCGCCCTAACCTCATTATGTATAAAGCATTACCTAGATACTCACGGATGCCGTACGTGAGTGGTTCGAACCATTAGCATAATCTAGTGGCTTCATTGGCTGACCTTACCACAAAGTTCGTGACATTTTCACCGACATCGAGCGTACTAAAAAGACAACCTCTTCTTTAATGAAGATCGAACAAGGTAAAAAGAGTCCTTCAAAATATCTTTATCAAAAAGTGCTTCAAGTACTGTAACCGACCACCTCAAGAAAGGAGAAAAGTATGAAATCACGGAAGATATAATGTATAAAAAAAGAATATCTTGACCCAAGAGAAGACCAAAAAATCTTAAGTGGCCTGTGGCCCCATAAGATCAAGTCACCTCCGAAGAGCAGAGACTTCCAAAGGATTATGGACACGCAACATAGAATTATACGACATTAC